TTCCTGCTAATGCAGGCGCTGGAAGCAACTATACTGATTCAAGAAATAGGGTTCCTGCTACCCATGGAGGAGACCTGGATTGAGTTTCCAGCTCCCAGACAAAGCTGGCTTTTAAGGAGTGAATCAGCATAAGGAAGCATGCATTTTCCCTGTCTCTCTCAAAAAAAGTTTAAAACATTAAAAAAAAAATGTAGTAGGAATTGCAGCACAGCAGGTTAAGCCAATACCTGGGATTATCCACATCCCACATGGAAGTGAGTGCCTTTTGGGTTCCAGCTACTCAGCTTCTAAATCAGTTCCTCAGCCGGCACTGCGGCTCACTAGGCTAATCCTCCGGCTGTGGCGCTGGCACCCCAGGTTCTGGTCCCGGCTGGGGCACCAGATTCTGTCCCGGTTGCTCCTCTTCCAGGCCAGCTCTCTGCTGTGGCCCGGGAGTACAGTGGAGGATGGCCCAAGTGCTTGGGCCCTGCACCCGCATGGGAGACCAGGAGGAAGCACCTGGCTCCTGGCTTCAAATCAGTGCAGCGCGCCAGCCGCAACGTGCCGGCATAGCGGCCACTTGGAGGGTGAGCCAACGGAAAAGGAGGACCTTTCTCTCTGTCTCTCTCACTGTCTAACTCTGCCTGTCAAAAAAAAAAAAAAAAAAAATTAGCCAGCATTGCCACTCAATAGGCTAATCCTCTGCCTGCGGTGCCAGCACCCTGGGTTCTAGTCCCGGTTGGGGCACCAGTTCTGTCCCAGTTGCTCCTCTTCAGTCCAGCTCTCTGCTGTGGCCTGGGAGTGCAGTGGAGGATGGCCCAGGTCCTTGGGCCCTGCACCCGCATGGGAGACCAGAAGCACCTGGCTCCTGGCTTCGGATCAGCACGGTGCGCCAGCTGCAGCGCGCTGGCCACAGCGGCCATTGGGGGTGAAGCAACGGAAAAGGAAGACCTTTCTCTCTGCCTGTCAAAAAAAACAAACAAAAAAAAATTAATAAATAAATAAATAAACCAATTCCTCAAGGTAGCAGATGACAGCCCGAGAACGTGGGCTCCTGCCACCCCATGGGAGACCCAGAGGGAATTCCTGGCTCCCAGCTTTAGCCTGGCCAGCCCTGGGCTGTTGCAGCCATTTGAACCAGAAGATCTCTCATCCTGTCTGCCTTTCAAATAAACAAATAAACCTGTTTTAAAAATCTTAGGTACTTAGGGGGCTGGCGCCATGGCTCACTTGGCTAATCCTCCGCCTGCAGAGCCGGCATCCCATATGGGCACCAGGTTCTAGTCCCGGTCGCTCCTCTTACAGCCCAGCTCTCTGCTGTGGCTTGGGAGGGCAGTGGAGGATGGCCCAGGTGCTTGGGCTCCTGCACCCGCATGGGAGACCAGGAAGAAACACCTGGCTCCTGGCGATTGGCACAGCTCTGGCTGTGGCGGCTATCTGGGGGTGAACCAACAGAAGGAAGACCTTTCTCTCTGTCTCTCTAACTCTGTCAAATTAAAAAAAAAAAATCTTAGGTACTTAAAAAACAAATAGCAAAAAAAATTACAATAAATAAATGTATTCTAAAAATTCATAAATGGGGTGGGAGTGTGGGTGGGAGGGCATGGTGGAAAGAATCACCATGTTCCTAAAGTTGCGATTATGAAATGCAGTAAGTTTGTAACTGTAAAGCCGCACAGGTCTGCATGTATTCCTACAGACTTACTTCTAAGGGTGCAATTTAAAAACTTGCCATGGGACTCCAAATCCCCTTGAGCTGAGAGACAAAAATACCATCTTAAGCGATAAAATGATCCTATGGATAGGATTAAGTGTTAAGAATGATCACATAGATAGGATTAAGTGTTAAAGTGATCATATAAATAGGATTAAGTGTTTGGTAATAATAATAGAGGGGCTAAGCCTCTGCCAGCAGCGCCAACATCCCATATGGGAACCAGTTCCAGTCTCGGTTGCTCCTCTTCCAATCCAGCTCTGTGCTATGGCATGGGAAAGCAGAGGAAGATGGCCCAAGTGCTTGGGCCCCTGCATCCGCACAAGATGATCTATCAATCTCTGCCTCTAACTCTTTCAAATAAATAAATAAATCTTTTTAAAAAGAGACTAGTTTAAAAAAAAAAAGTGTCTACACAGACATCATCCTGCATATTGGACATGCAGAAAATGTGCAATAAATACTGGTTCAAATAAATAACAATAACATTTCCCTAGAAACTTCAGTTTCTCCTTCCCAAAATAGGATAGACCCCAGGCCAATTACTAAAGGCCACTATCCCCCTCACCACCGTCCTGACCAGACGTCTCCTGGTGGCCCCAGGCCAATATAATGTCTACCGTCCCGACCTTATGTCCCCCAGCTCCCCCACGCCACTGTAATGTCCACCGTCCCGACCTTATGTCCCCCGGCTCCCCCATGCCACTATAATGTCCACTGCCCCGACCCTACGTCCCACGGTGCCTCCGGGCCACTATAATGTCCACCGTTCCAACCTTACATCCCACAGTGCCCCCAGGCCACTGTAATGTCCACTGTCCCGACCCTACGTCCCACGGTGCCTCCGGGCCACTATAATGTCCACTGTTCCAACCTTACATCCCACAGTGCCCCCATGGCACTGTAATGTCCACTGTCCCGATCTTACGTCCCACGGTGCCCCCAGGCCACTGTAATGTCCACCATCCCGACTGTACATCCCCTGGTACCCCCAGGTCACTGTAATGTCCACCGCCCTGACTGTACATCCCCTGGTACCCCCAGGCTACTGTAATGTCCACCGCCCTGACTGTACATCCCCTGGTGCCCCCAGGTCACTGTAATGTCTACCATCCCAACCGTACGTCCCATGGTGCCCCCATGCCACTGTAATGTCCAGACAAACTGGACACTCTGCAGTTCTCTAGTCTTGAGAGCCTTGGAATGTCCTTCTACTGTTTCTGCCCAAAATCCTATCCTCCTGATGGCTTTGTCTCGAAACTGAGTTCCCCCATAAAGCCTTCTCTGAACCTTCTAGTCTAAGCCATTACCCATGTAGTTCACCTGTGATATCTGTAACATCTTACCTTGTACCGTTACTTTTCAGGTACACTTACATTTTTATGTAACACATAATTAAGGACTAACTCTCCCTCTCTCTGTAACTCTTTCAAATAAAGAAATTTTTAAAAAAAGATCAACTATTTGCCCATCCAGCAAATAGTTACTGAACACTTATTTTTTAAAGATTTATTTATTTACTTGAAAGGCAGTTACAGTGGAGAGGGAGCGGTCTTCCATCCAATGGCTCACTCCCCTAAAGGCTGCAACAGGGGCAGCGGAAGACGACCCAAGTGTCTGGACCCACGTGGGAGACCCAAAACAAGCTCCTGGCTTTGGATCAGCCAGCTCTGGTCGTTGCAGCCATTTGGGGAGTGAAACAGCGGATGGAAGACCAACCTCTCTCTCTCACCCTCACTCTCCCTGTTGCTTTACCCCTCAAATAATTTCAAATGAAATAGAAATTGCGTATTCAAAATAAAACAAAAAAAGACTGCAACAGCCAGGGCTGGGCCAGGCTGAACCCAGGAGCTTCTTCCAGGTCTCCCACGTGGGTGCCAGGGTCCCAAGTACTTGGACCACCTTCCACTGCTACCCCAGGTGCATTAGCAGGGAGATGTATCAACAGTGGAGCAGCCCGGACCTAAACCGGCACCCACTTGGGATGCCATCGCCGCAGGTGGCAGCATAATCCACTAAGACACAGCACTCGCTCCTAGCTCCTACTATACTTTGAACTAAGTATGCAACAATGAGTAAAGAAAACCACAATCCCATCAATCACAAAAGAACTTCCTCAGGGTTGTGAGAAATGTCACACACGGTGGACACACTGTGAGGACAGAAGCAGAGGTCACAGCCAAGTTTAAGCCCGGACACCGCGGGGACTAGCATCCTCACACGGCCAACCCCAGCCAGGCTTGCTGCGGCCACTAACCCAAGGCCCACGGGAGCAGCAGACTCTTGTAACAGCTGAGCCCCGGCCAACACAGCCACTTAGCTTCGCTTACAGGCGGCACACACCCCGATACAAGGCGTTAAGCTCTGTCAAGTGCTTCCACTTTCTGAGCTCAGCGTGGCTCAGGGCCTGTCCGATTCTAGAGTCAGGAATAAAAGCCAACTGAGATCTTTAATCCCGTTGTAATGCTGTCTTTTGAGGAGTGTCAGACATTCACCAGGTAGGTGAATTCACCGCGCGGCCTCAATTTCTAACAGCGCTCCCGAAGCTTACATACTTACTGCTGTGAGCCGGGCGCACAGCAGACGCGCAAGAAACAAACTCTGGCCTGGTGCTGCGCGCATCTGGAAACTGGTTAGGATTTGGATCCCAATGCCTCACCAAAGGACAAGAACCCAATGAGGACTCTAGAAGTTAAAAATGGGCAGTGGAAAATTCGAGGGCACTTCAAACACTGTGAGGAAAACGGGAATTAAAAGTTTTGTGCCCAAAAACTCTTTGAAAGCCCATGCGCAGTGTGTTCATGAGTCGCATTCCTCGTGGCCTCTTTGAAGACTGTCGTTTGCACGCGTATGCATGGATTTCAACATTTTCTGCGCCCAAACAAGCTTGCCGTTTAGTCCCATTCGCCACAACTTTGTGAAGGACCCTCGGCTGTAATGAAAACGCCTGGTATTTGCAACAGGCGTCTCCTTGACAGGTGGAGAGTTCCCCCTTTGAACGACTAAGTCGCTTAGGAGCGGAGAAAGAACGGACGCCAGCAATACGGGAACATCTTAGCCCCAGCCCCAAGGCCGCTCCTCCGTTTTCCTTCCCCCTTCCACCACCCCACTACTCGAGCCCCAGGAGAAAACCTTTACGTTCCAAAACCGGAACGAAGCCTAGAGCCCTTCCCAGAACGCTTTGCAGCGCCGCGGAGAACTCTGGGATACAAACGGATAAACAATCCCAAGGCCACAGCCCAGACCGGGCGGTTAAACTGCCGCTTGGACCCACCGAGTACCTCCGCCGGTCCTTCTGCGAGCTTACCTTTCCGGGAGCTCCCACCATCGGGGGCCTCACTCACGCCCGCAAAGGCCGGGAACAGCGCCATCAACGCAGCTTTCTCCGCCGTTCCCCTCTACAGAAATGGCGGCGGCGGCCAAGCGCCGGTTTGAAGCCTCCGCCGTCGCGGTGTATGCTGGGAAGCGTGGTTTCCCTCGTGCGGGCTGGGGCTTGACCTCAGACCAGGCGGAGTGGGCGGAGGGCTAGGGGGCGGGGAAGGGGCGGGGCCAAAGGGAGGGGCGGGGCAGGGCGGCTTCCTAGTGGCTGCAGCCTCAGGTGTCTGTGAATACCGGAAGCGCGGAGACCGGGAGACCGCGCTGTTCAGAGCCGGAGTCCTCGGGATTCCGATTCCACCGTGAAGTCGCAGCGTGGCTTGCCAAGTCAGTTTAATAAAACGGTCTAGAGGCCGGCGCTGTGGCCTAGTGGGCTAAAGTCTTCACCTGCAGCACTGGCGTCCCACACGGGCGCCGGTTCTGGTCCCCGCTGCTCCTCTTCCGATCCCGCTCTCTGGCCTGGGAAAGCAGAAAAAGATGTCCCAAGTATTTGGGGCCCTGCACCTGCACCTGCACCTGCACCTGCGTGGGAGACCCGGAAGAAGCTCCGGCCGTTGCGGCCATCTGCGGACTGAACCAGCGAATGGAAGCCCTCTCTGTGCCTCTCCTTCTCACTGTCTGTAATTCTACCTCTCAAATAAATAAATAAAAATCTTTTAAAAATAAAGATAAAATGCTTTACTTTCCTCATCCTGGAGGAAGACTGAACGCACAAGCGTTGTGTCTGGCCCATGAAAACTCGAGCTGGCTCCAGTCAAAGCCACGTGAGACGGCCAAGCTCCGATGGGTCTAACACCCCGGAAAGGCCCGATGGGGGTCAAAGCTCTCTTAGGAAATACCTTTCTGAATCAAGCCTCCTACAGAACTATAGGGGCTAAAGGACAACTTACAAGATTTCACACCACATGGAAGCAGTCAGCCAAACTCAGAACGGGGGAAATTACAGACAACTAATAAGCAAGTTTCTCTGAGGAACTGGATGACATTGAGAGGACAAGACAAATCACCAAATGCAACATATGGCCTCACTGTGATTCACTGTGTGTGTTTTAAGATTGATTTGAAAGGCAGAGTGACAGACACAAATCTTCTATCCACTGGTTCACTTCCCAAATGGCCACATCGGCTGGGGCGGGGCCAGGCCAAAGCCAGGAGCCCGGAACTCCAACTGGGTCTCCCACATAGTGGCAGGGCCCAAGTACTTGGGCCATCTTCTGCTATAAGCAGGGAACTGCATTGGAAGAGGAACAGCCAGGACACAAACTGGCGCCCATTTGGGATGTTGGTGCTGCAGGCGGAGGCTTAGCCTACTATGCCATAGCACCAGCCCTAGGGCCATCTTCTGCCTTCCCAGGTGCATTAGCAAGGAGCTGGATTGGAAGTGGAGCAGCTGAGACACAGACGGGAGGCAGTTTAACCCGCTGCACCACCAAATGATTCTTTTTAATTCTGTTAGATAGACTGTTAGATTAATACACTGAGGTTATTTTTTCAAGTTCTTGCATAGTAAAGATACAAACAAGCATCTGCAAGTAAAGAGACAGAAAAATGAAGATTTTTGTGTGTGTGGATCTCAAGGAGTTTAAAGATCTTTAGCGTTAAGCAGGAAATTAGAAATCAAAGGTGCAGGCCGGCGCCGCGGCTCATTAGGCTAATCCTCCGCCTTGCGGCGCCGGCACACCGGGTTCTAGTCCCGGTCGGGGCGCCGGATTCTGTCCCGGTTGCCCCTCTTCCAGGCCAGCCCTCTGCTGTGGCCAGGGAGTGCAGTGGAGGATGGCCCAGGTGCTTGGGCCCTGCACCCCATGGGAGACCAGGAAAAGCACCTGGCTCCTGGCTCCTGCCATCGGATCAGCGCGGTGCGCCGGCCGCAGCGCGCCGGCCGCGGCGGCCATTGGAGGGTGAACCAACGGCAAAGGAAGACCTTTCTCTCTGTCTCTCTCTCTCACTGTCCACTCTGCCTGTCAAAAAAAAAAAAAAAAAGAAAAAAAAGAAAAAGAAATCAGAGGTGCAAATCAATGAAAAAAATAGGCAGACCCGGGAAGCTGCAGACCTGCGGAGACCGAGGTCGTGGGAGCCCTTCAAGCTTTGAAGTCCCTGAGGCAGCAGTCACGAGGCAGCAGGGACGGCAGGGCCGCACGTCTGCAGCTTTAGGCCTCAGGCGCTGCCGGCATGGCCCTGAGTCACCTCAGCTAGCAGAACGGCATCTGCCTGCCTCAGCCCCTCCCGTCAGGGCACGGGGATGCCAACAGCGTTCCCCAGTGCCTCTTGCCTTTCCACCCCAGAACAAGAAGAATTAATAGGGAACTAAACCCTCAAAAATAATGTTTCTGTAATAGCTCTTGGCATATTAGGTATTTTGTGTACTCGCCAATGTGTAAGAAAATTTGGCTTCAGTGACCCTCTCCCGTGAGCAGTTTAAAGTGTGCAATCGCGTAACTGACAGGATTTAAGTTAGTGGAGCCTGAGCAGTTTCAGGACATCTAAGAGACTCTAAAGGTCGCCATATTTGTAAGTGTGATTGATTAGATTTTAAGGATTAAAGCTAGAAGAAAATTGATGTTATCGTAACTAAAGCACCTGAGAGGGAAATAAAATGTATTAAATGTGTATGAAATAGATAAATGCCGAGCAGAGGTCAGGAAACTTCTTCCTAAAGGGCCACATAATATTTTTAAGGCTTATCTATTTATTAGAAAGGCAGAAAGAGAGATCTCCCATCCACTGGTTCCTTCCCCAAATGCCTGCAACAGCTGAGGCTAGGCTGGGCCAAAGCCAGGAGCCAGGAACTCCATGTGAGTCTCCTACATGACAGGAACCCAAGCCCTTGGCCCATTATCTGCTGCCACCCTGGCACATTAGCCAGAAGCTGTAGTGGAAGTGCAGAGTAACCAGGACTGAAACTGGACACTCCAGTATGGAATGCATGTATCCCAGACTGCAGCCTAACCCACCACATCACAACACCCGCCTTATTTTTTTTTTAATAAGCAGATTAATCTTTATGGGCCAGATGATCTGTCAAAGAAACACTCACTCAGTGTTCCAAGATGTGATAGCCCAGAGCTGGTGGAGAAGCAGAGGAAAGCTGCCTGTAGAAAGAGAAGGGTAAAACTTTTATAGAATATTCCCAAAACTGGGTCCACTCGTATAACACAGGAAGCCAATCACTCACGCCGCGAGGTAGAAGAAAGCAGGTGTTTCTTGCAAAGCACAGGGCACGAAGCAGGGCAGTGATGACCTAACTGCTGGGATCCTTGATGAGTTAGGGGTGAAGGTTCCTACTGAGATGAGGGATCAGAGTACTAAGCTCGTGTGCAGATCCTTGCTTGGTCTGCAGTGCTCCTGACCCTTCGGTTATTGCGTGGCAATATCGTATTCTTTAAGGAATTTTGATGATAGAAAACTGGGCTCTGGTCAGAGGTGGTGGTTACTTCTTATTCAGGACCTGGACTTCCTGGAAAAGAATTCCTTAAAAACAAGACCAAATATCAAGATGTCCACCTATGGTGAGATCAATGATCTCATGTGCCTTGTGATCAGAAACCCTGTAGGGCAGCTGTGCCACTCCCTCAATTTATTTTTTAAAATTATTTATTTTAAAGCAGAGTATCAGAGAGAGAGAGAGAGAGAGAGAGAGAGAGAGAGAAACACCTTTGGAAGAACCTCCCATCTACTGGCTCACTCCCCAAATGACCACAACAAGCCAGGAACCAGGAACTCCATCCTGATCTCCCACATGGGTGGCAGGGACCCAAACACTTAGGTCATCCTCTGCTGCCTTCTCAGATACGAAAGCACAGAGCTGGATTGGAAGCGGAGTATCCAGGACTCCAACTGGCGCTTTGATATGGGATGTCCATGTCACAAGTGGCAGCTTATTCACCTGTTGCACCACAAGGTGGTCCCCACTAGCTCAATTTAGTGTGTTAATTTCAGCAAAAGCATAGCAAGGAAGTGTTAACCCTAGAGGGGGATGCTGGGAGACCATGGGAGACTTGGACCTGATAGTACCTAGCATCTGCATCAAAGGTACAGTGCAGGGGCTGGGTTTCAACACCAATGTGAGCAGAGGAGGAGGGTCCCAGGGGCTCCGGAACTCTAATTCCAGTTGTCTCTGGAGCTCAGCTTTGCTCTTAGGCTCAGGTGCTAGGAAACAGTCCAATATGCTTATAATACATTTCCCATTTCAGTAAACTAATTCAAGTTGATTTTCTGTCACTTGGAACCTAGAGTTTCTAAACAGCAGAGTGAATGAGTGAATGAAGGCATAAGTGAGGCCATTTCCACAGCCAGCATCACCATCCCAGGGCCTGCAGGTGTGCCAATTAGTTTGCATGATGTATGAAGTTTTAAACTGGTCTACCCAGAACATCTAAAAGCAAACTCCTTTCATCTTCAGAGGGAGAGACTCTGCACTCACCACGAACTCAGGCGAACTGGAGAAACAGGTCTCAAGGAATTTTCTAAGGGAAGTCCCTATGAAGTAAAACAAAGAAAAGGGTCCTGTGAAAACCCAAGGCATCAGCAAGGACCTAGAAGAGCCTGAGCCGATTCATTGGCTCCATCTGCTTTCTGTTTTGTTTTGGGGTGTGTGTGGAGAAGGAAGGGGACAGGATTTCACTGGAAATACCCTAATACGTGCACACAGGTTGAACTTTAAAATTCATGCATGGCCTTTTCAAAGTACACATTTTTCATGAGCTTTTTAAACGCCCTCCATATGCACGGATTTAAAGCATTTTTTCACCAAAATAAATGTAGCTTTTACTTGAACACCCCCATACTTGTTCCTAACTCACAATTCACATACTCAAGAATATGTCTCAGATACGTAAGGTTTTGAGAAGTCATGTAGAAATCAGAGAAGGATGTCACCAACAGCACTTGGTAATGATATTACAAAATAGAATAATTATTAGATGGGGCTCCACTTGGGTTTACCATCCTGTAAGTATTACACACCCAAAACTGTGGGCCTACTTTCTGTCTAGTTTAGTCAAGAAATGCACCAAAGGGCTGGTGCTGTGGTGCAGCAGGTTAAAGCCTAGACTGCAGCGCCAGCATCCCATATGGGCATGGGTTCGAGTCCTGGCTGTTCCACTTCTGATCCAGCTCCCTGCTAATGTGCCTGGGGAAAGCAGTGGAGGATGGCCCAAGTGCTCAGGCCCCGGCTTCCATGTGGGAGACCCAGAAGAAGCTCCCAGCTCCTGACTTCGGATTGGCTCAGCTTCAGCTGTTGCAGCCATTTGAGAAGTGAACCAGCAGATGGAAAACTTCCGTGTCTTTCCCTCTCTCTACAACTCTGTTTTTCAAATAAATAAAATAAATCTTAAAAAAAGAAAAGAAAGAAAAAGAAATGCACCAGAGAGCAGGCACTGTAGCACAGCAGGTGAAGCCCAGCATCCCATATGAGTGTGCCGGATTCAAATCCCTGATGCTCTGCGCTTCCCATCCAGCTTCCTGCCAATGCATCCTAGAATGCAGCAGTGATGGCCCAAGAACTTGGATTCCCACCATCCATGTGGAAGACCCGGATGGAGTTCTTAGCTCCTGGCTTCAGCCTGGCCCAGTCTTTAGGAGTGAACCAGTAGAAGAGTCAGTCTCTCTCTCTCTCTCTCTCTCTCTCCCTCCCTCCCCCTTCCTCCCTCCCTCCCTCCCTCATTCAGCCTTTCAAGTAGATGAAAAATAAATAGGGGCCGTGGCTCACTTGGTTAATCCTCTGCCTGCAGCACTGGCATCCCATATGGCCGCCAGGTTCTAATCCAATTGCTCCTCTTCTAGTCCAGCTCTCTGCTGTGGCCCGGGAGGGCAGTGGAGGATGGCCCAAGTGCTTGGGCCCCTGTGGAGACCAGGAGGAAGTATACGACTCCTGGCTTTGGATCGGTGCAGCACCAGCCGCAGCGGTCATTTGGGGAGTGAACCAACAGAAGGAAGACCTTTCTCTCTCTCTCTCTCTGTCTATAACTCTACCTGTCAAATAAATAAAATAATAAAAAAAGAAAAAGAAATAAACATTTTTTAAAAACACACCAGAGCAGCCAGCACAGTGGCATAGCTGGTGAAGCTGCCACCTGCAGTGCCAGCATCCCATATGGGTGCCAGTTCAAGTCCTGGCTGCTCCATTGCCAATCCAGCTCTCAGCTATGGCCTGGGGAAGCAATAGAAAATGGCTCGAGTCCTTGGGCCCCTGCACCCGCATGGGAGACCTGGAAGAAGCTCCAGGCTCTCGGCTTTGGATCAGCCCAGCTCTGGCCATTGCAACCTTCTGGGGAGACATCTTCTGCTGTTTTCCCAGGTGTTTTACCAGGGAACTGGATTGACAGAGATGACCTTTGGAGCAACTAGGACTGGAACTGGCATCCATATGGGATGCCAGCCTTGCAGATGGCAGCTTAACTTGCTGTGCTGCAATATCAGCCCCTGGACAAAAGGTTTAAAAAGGTTAAATGAATATTCTTGAGTAGCTCACTCTTAAACTAGTACTTCTCAAAATTACCTGAATTTTCAGCTTATGTTGGGATTACAGCTTTCCTAAAGTGATGTGTGTTGTTTGTAAGTTATATCGATCATGAAAAAGATCAATGAAACAGCATATACCTTTCTCAAATAGTTTTGAAGAGAGCAAATAGTTAAATCCCCACTATTCAGGCTGGTTTTCTTTGACTATAAAAGTGATATTTTAAGAACTGGCTTAGTCCCAGTCTCCTTTTAAGACCTCCTTTGTCATGTCAGCTTTTATCTCTGCAACTATTCACTGCTCTTCCAGCTTGTAGGTGTTTCTCTTTTAAGTGTGACTGTAGGAGCTGGCTAGTTTATCTCCCCCCCCCCCCACCTTTTATTCCCATCTGCACCTCCATTTCATGGCCTCCTCTCATTCCTCCAAAGAGCAGAAGTGTGGCGCAGTGGGTGAAGCTGTCACTTGGGACACCTGCATCCTGTATCAGAGCGCTGGCTTGAGCACAAGCAACTCCAAGCTACAAGGCTTCCTGCTAATGCACCCAGGAGGCGGCAGATGATGGACCAAATTCCTGCCACCTACAGGGGAGACCTGGAAGGGATTCCTGGCCTGGCCCAGCCCTGGTTGTTGCAGGGATTTGGGAGTGAACCAGCAGGTAAATCAATGAATCTCTCTCTCTCTCTCTCTCTCCCTCTCTCCCTCTCTTCCTGTCACTCTGCTTTTAAGTAAATAAATAGATCTTTTGTAAAAAGAGCAGACGTATGAATTTTTTCACATAAAGTTTCCAGTTATAGGTGAAAGTATCTAAATTAATGTCCACTTTTGCTTACTTAATTAGGAATACGTACAGGAACTATCCTCTCCTACCTGTCTAAGCAGGATGCAGGAAATCTTTCAATGCATGAAAGTAGAAGGAAGATGGGGAATTATCACTCCTCTTCCCATTACCCTTCCTGGGCCTTTTCTTTCTTTCATGTTTTTCCATTATCATAGGGTAAATGTTTCATCACAGTTATAACTCTCCTCTTAGTGTTGTATGTGAGCATTTCTGTTGCATTCCAAACCTCATATACATGTATTAAACATGTGACATGTCATCCAATCACAGTGGGACTTAATGGTTCCTTATGGCTAGGTGTTTAGCAAACCTCACTTCCTGTGTCATATCATCCATGTTATCCATGGACTCACCCAAACAGGAAGTTGCTGGACAGGCTGGTCAGTCACAGGATCTTAGGTGGTAGCTTGTCCATCGGTAGCAGGACGGGTGTTTGTAAAGATGAGCGGCAGCTACCAGAGCACAAGGACTAAACACGAGGAAAGATCAGCTGAGGAGAGCGAGGCGACACTTTCCGAAAGGACAATACAACCTCAAAGAGTCAAAGCAAAGCCCCACAAAACGCTGACCCAGCTAAGGTCCACACTGTGTCCAACATCATGTACAGAGATCCAACAAGCAATTCTGACCAGAAGAGTCAAGTGCAGAGGTCATCTAGGTCAAAAGACAAGATGACAACAAACGTAAAGCTCTCCATTGGCTTTATGTGTTATTCTGGAATAGGACAACACTTCATTTCATAAAATAGTGTAAGTGTTCTAACGAGCTGGGCTGTGGAATTTGGTGGTAGGGACAGAAAAGTGCTGGAGAAAGCAGAAGCAAAAAGCAAATTGGTCATTTCAAAGGTACTCTCCTTGTCAGGCAGGAGCAGGGAGACAGAAGGATAGAAAAGCAACTGATTAACACCAGGCTACTTAAGGTTACCTTTTCCATAAGGAGGAAAGCAGAGGAAATTTCATTATCATGTGTGAGAAACTGGCCTGTTTGGGAATCTTGGCTATTATTTCCCTCCTGCTTTCTTTTTCTTTTCATTAAGATCTATTTGAAAGTCAGAGTTACACAGAAGCAGAGGCAGAGAGAGGTTTACTCCCTAAATAGCCGCAACAGCCAGGAGCTTCTGGGTCTCCCATGCCGTGCAGGTGCCCAAGCACTCGGCCCATCTTCCACTGCCTTCCCAGGCCATAGCAAGGAGCTGTCTCGGAAGATGAACAGTTGGGACTTGAACTGGTGAGCATATGGGATGCTAGCACTGCAGGCAACAAGAAAGAGAGACAGATCTTCGATCCTCTGATTCACTCCCCAAATGCCTGCAAGAACCAGGGCTGGGCTAGATTGAAGCCAAGAGCCAAGAACCCAATCCAGGCCTCTCATATGGGTGGCAGGCATCCAAGTACTTGAGCCATCATAGCTGCCTCACAGGGTGTGTATTAGCAAGAAGCTGAATCAAAATTGGAGAGTCAGGACTTGATCCTAGTACTCTGATATGGGGTGCAGGCATCCCAAACAGTGATGTAACAGCTGTGCCAAGGCCTGTCCCTATAACCATAATTTTAAATGCTCAGCTCCCATCCTGATTTTAAATCCCACAACTTCTGTTTATTATTTAAGCTTATTGTTAATACTAATGAAATGACGTATTTTGCCATTCATCTAGTGTCTATGTTTTATCTATGGCTATTATCTCAATGATACCAAATTCTCCTAGGAGTACTAGCTGCATAAATATTACTTCCGGTATACACACCAGGAAATGCTTGATTCCTTTCTGCCTTTTTATTAACATAGGGAGCTCACTGTGCTCAGAAGGGAAACTCTTATGGCCTAACTCGGATCTCCCCGTCCCCTCCACTCCCACATTCTGTTGTATGAAATTGAACCATCACCTTCTTTCCCCAGCTCCCTCCCCTTCCAAGTCTCTGTGCTGATTCCCAGCACTCACACAATGCAAATATTCCTGTCTCCTTTAGCGATCCCACTTCTTTCATCACCGCTGGAACAATGAACTCCCTCAGTTTTTACATAATACCTGCTACATGAATGCAGGTTTTTCTGTGAAGATGAGCATAGCTTTCATTCTATCCTCTAAGGGCCCATGACCCTCTCCTCTTCAAAAGACTAGAAATGATCCGTCGTGTTGACCAGTACTATCATTACACTACACTTGTAACATTCAAGCAGCCTCCTGACAGGTCTCCTGTCTCCTTCCAGTCCATTCTCTACAGCAGTGCCACTCTCTGTATCCATCACTTGCATACAAGGTTTGACTGCTTCCACTCCTCCCAGGCTGGCATCATGGCACCACCACATCACTCTGATTCCTGTTTGCCGCTTTCATACCAGGAATGGCTCCCCTGGCCTTCTCTGCATTCCCGACCACACCCAGCACTTCAAGGCCAAACCAAAGACCAGGAATGGAGGGCCTGGTTTTGATGACTGAATAACTGAGGGGGATGAGGGTCTGAGGCTCTTGAGAGTTGGAAATGTCTGTTTGGGAGTTGTCTGCACAGAAGTTCAGAAACTTGGAAAAGAAGGAGCTCTCCAATGCTTTAACCTTGAAAGATGAGAGCTCTCCAAGGTTTAAAAAAAAAAAAAAGGCAGAAAGCAGTCAAGTGCTCACTCTCTCATTCTCAATTTCTAGGTGTTCCATCCGTGCTCAGCAAAGAGTAGCACTTGAAACTCACAGAACGAATATGGAATGTTACTTTGAAAATCAGGGGCTAGTGCTCTGGTATAGTGGGTAAAGCTACCACTTGCGGTACCAGCATCTCATATGGGCACCAGTTCATATCCTGGTTGCTCCACTTCCACTCTCTGCTATGGCCTGAGAAAGTAGTAGAAGATGGCCCAAGTACTTGGACCCCGTACCCATGTGGGATACCCGGAAGAATCATCTGAGATGCTCCTGGCCATTTGGGAAGCGAATCAGTGGATGGAAGATCTCTCTCTCCCTCTCTCTCTCCCTCTCTCTCTCTCTCTTGCTCTGCAACTCTGCATTTCAAATAAATATATAAACCATAAAAAAGAAGAAAATCAAACATACAAATAGTTTTTAAAATTTATGAGAGGCAGAAAGAGACAGATCAACAGGCAGAGAGATCTCCCATCTGCCAGCTCACAGCCCAGATGCCCACAATGGCCATGACTGAGGCAGGGCTAGAGCCAGGAGATGGAACTCAATCTAGATCTCCCCTATGGGCGGCAGGGACCCAATCATTTGAACCATCGCCCGCTACCTCCCAGGGTCTCTATTAGCAGGAAGCTAGAATCAGGAGTCAAAGCAGGTAAAACGCCCACCCCAAAGGGTCAAAATCTGTGCACAAAAGGTGCTGAACAAAGTACTTTGTCAAAAATAGGTGAATCATTGCCCGAGTTCTTACGGTGAAAATTGTTATTTAGGGAAGCACTGTCATTGCCAAGCTGCTCTCAGCAGTGCACTGAGAGTCAGGGGACAAGGTTAATAGGTGCCCATAAAGTATACATCTTCCCGTTACCATTTTTCATTGATATGATCACAAAGTAAATCTAAAGTGGAAACAAAATACATTTCAAATTAATAACTGGCAAATAATCATCTCAGGCATTTGCTTAATGGCCATTAGAACCCGTACCTCACCCCAGGCATGATGTTGAAAGAATTCCTGTCTTCTTGCTGACACATTCTACACGGAGAGCGTAAACATGTCCACAGCTAAGGTAGGTGTCCACTGTGCTGGTCAGTATTAATATTACACTTGGGCTGAACAGAGAACACACAGCAGGGGCTGATGCACGCTGCATAACCGTGCTAGCCCTGTTATTTATGCAGGTCCAATTAGCTGCTCCTGAAGCAGAAGACCCACCAGGAAGCAGGTGGCTCAGCAGGCAGGCTTGTGCTTCGTGTCCACAGTGCTCAGCCGGAGAAGGTTCTGGCAAGCGAGCACTGTCTTCACCTGCAGCCGATAATGGAGAATCCCCCAGGGCAGGAACACCTCCAGCTACCACTGACGCACACACACCTCTTGATCTGCTCAGACTCCAGTCTGCGGTAATTCTACACGACTGAGTTTCCCCCAGGACTTAGCCAAGCCCTTTGCCTGCCACCCTCAAGGAGCCTTTTTAAAACCTTTCAATTAAGCTCTTTAGAGCTCCAAAAAGCAAACTCTGGAGACTTCCTCCACACCCTTATTCCCAAAAGGGTGCACCTGTAGTGTTCCGCCCACATTCAGACTGCACAACCAACTGTGCCCACGGCGAGGGGAGGGTTTCACCACAGGAGAGCCCTCCGCACTCCCTGCTGCTCTCCTTTCATGCTAGGAGAAACTGAGGTATAGAAACCCTGAGCCTGGGCCCAGGACTGCCCGTGGGCCCTGGCCTGACTTCTCCCGGGCCGTAGAGACACCATGCGTCCCAGTCCTTTCAGCCAGGGGTGACAAGAAGGAAAAAAAAAAACAATCTGAAATGTCCTACATTGAATTACAGGGGCTAGAGGATGGAGAGGGGAAGTTAGCCATTAACAGCTATGGGGCGAAGTCAGCAGCAGATGGCATGACATTCCTGCAGGTGTGTGGAAAGCTGAGCTCAAATCAGAGCTGACCACCAGGGCCACTGCATCCCGTTTCCGTGTAGCCCTGACCGATCCAGAAGCTGCCATCACTCCTCCTCGCAGCCTGTCTGCCTGTCCCGGAGCTCTGCCCACTCCCCACGCCCCCGCCTCTCTTACCTCTTAGTCAATTTAGATTCAGTGTGAATCTCTTCCCTCCCCCATGTTTTTGTGACAAAAATACTCTCAGCTCTAGAGCTAATGGACATCTTTCCAACTACTGACTGGCCTTGCTTCCGGATGTGTGGGAAGCTGTCCCAGGGCTTGGTCCTTTTCCTGACTAGCATCTGCAATGACTCAATAAAACTTTGAGAGGGCGCTGATCAGCCTCAAGCATTTCAGATGAACAGGGGCCCAGGGTAGAGCTGGCTTTTCAGGAGGTGCAACTCCAGGAGTTCTGAACCCTGGGGCTTTGGAGTCTGATTGGAAAGACATTGTCCGAGTATACTGGAATTTTCTCCATATACAAATTGATTTTCTAACCTTGTCAAACCTGTGCCATCCACGTCCCTTGAAAGTGGGCTACTTTGATGCCCCTCTACAGTGACCCTGTTGTGTGCTCAGGGACCCCAATCCATGAGGCTCCACTGGAAAGTTTAGTCAGCACTGGCAAAGAAGGGAAAGAAAGGGTCAGAGTTCAGTGGTTTTATGATGCAGCCAGTGGTCAGAACCTTGGACTTGAAACCTGGCCCGGGTGCCTGTGTCTTCAGGGAAGGCTTGAAGGTGGCTCGGCAGAGCAGTGGCCTGCACCCTCGCATGGCTCTGGGTAGCCTGCCCTGCCCAACCAATGAAAGCTCCTTCACCCTTTCCAGCCTTCCTCACTGGTTTCGGCAGCTGGGCCTTTGCCAGCAACCAAGGGAGAGGCACTGGGCTGAGCTACTCGTTTAGGACAAGTGATTCCTTCTGGAGGAGAAATCCCATTCACTCAGACACTGGAGCAATGATGTGCTGACTGACAGATGTGACTACTTTTCACTGCAGGTAGGAAACTGTTCCATAACCCATGCTAATAGGATTCCTGGTTTCTGTAGGGCCTTGGAAACTAGTAATTTTCAGACAGGCAGCACAGCCCGTTCAGTGAACTTTCTGCCCTGGGTAAATTCCCTCTACCGTGGCTCCTCACGGGAGCAAGGAGTGGATTCCTGGAAGGGGGCACTTGGAGCTGCATGGGTGTTTCCTCCTGTGCTTTGTCTGAAAATGCACCTGAGCAAATCACACTTGGGGATATTTCATGGGCTTGCAGAGACGTATTCTAGAATTCTCAACTGCTCTGGGAATTGGCATTAAATGAGATCCACCAGCCAATCTGGTTAGCAGTGAAAGGGAGCATCACTTTCCCAGTCATGGCATCGCACAGTAACTCCTCCCTCCACGCACATCATGTCTGAAGGGAACATGAAGACAGACTAAATGCAGAGAGCCTCTGCCTCAAGCTGTCTGACACCACCAACTGTTGTCTAAGGTAGATAATGGTTTTTTCAAAAATAAGGTTCTCTGATAGGAAAAACTCCTTTTGAATATTTGTCAATATTTGACCCTTTCAGGTTTATTATTTAAAAATTTTATCAATTGGTTTTGACTTGAGTTTAAAATCGCAGCCACAATCTGTGGGTCAATAGTGTCTCTTGCTGAAGCTTCCGAGGTATTTTGTTACTGCTATGGTTATTTAAACATTCCTACCCCACCATAGGCCATCTGCTAGTTTGGTGTTTTAACTGACCCACAGTTGTACATCTTGATGGCCTCCAGTGTGATTTTTCAATATACATATATTCAGTGTGAAATGATACCCATCACCTCAAATAGGAAGTCTGGTTTGAGTGGGTCACAGCTATTTCTTTTGACGGAGGCAGGGAGGTGGTGATAGCCAGAGGAACTGCCCTGCCCAGCTGCTACAGCTGGCTGACCCATGTGACAGCCCAGTCAGCACCTCCAAAACTCTCTTCCAGGTACCGCTCAAATTTCCCTTCTGCTTCAGTGGAAACCACAAGGCCTGTGATGCTGCAGCTTTATAACCAGTGCCATTCATAAATACCCACCATGGCTGCAGTCTGCATCCCTGTGATGACTTCCACTTCATCATAATTACCATGGCTGATGTTCTCATTCCCATCATGCACCTGACACCATGACACTTCTGAGAGATCCAGAAACAGCACAGAAATGGCCGCAACTCAAGCCCCATCCCCAACTCCACCCTTCTGAACGTCTGATTGAGCCCTGTCCAGACAGCAGCCCCTATGGCTCCAGATCCTAGAGGACTGCTTGAACCTTGCTGATGGCTGCTCCTTCTCTTTTAAGCTTGCCCGTGCTCATTCCTTGAGTGTGTACTTTTGCTTCAGAGGAATCTCGCTTTCCTGCTTGCATTCATCTAGGTCTCTTCCTTGAATTCCTTCTTGCATGGAGACCAAGAACCTATGGGGGTAGGGAATGTCTGGCCTCAGGCTTTGGGAGACCTTCGAAAACATTTGGTCTGGCCCTGTCAATTCAAAATTCAATACATCTATAGCAGGCTAATTTTTCAAGTTCATGATTTTGTATGGCCCATGAATGATGTTATAAATATCTAAATGGGGGCCGCACTGTGGCATAGTGGATAAAGCTGCTGCCTGCAGTGCTCACATCCAATGTGGGCACTGGTTTGAGTCCCGGCTGCTCCACTTGCAATCCAGCTCCCTGCTAAGTGCTAAGCGCATTGGGAAAGCAGTGGAAGATGACCCAAGTGCTTGGGTCTGTACACTCACGTAGGAGATCCGGAAGAAGCTCCTGGCTCCTGACTAAAGATCGGTCCAGCTCTGGCTGTTGCAGCCATTTGGGGACTAAACCAATGGATGGAAGATACTTCTCTGTAACTCTGCCTCTCAAATAAATAAATAAATCTTTTTTTAAAAATCTAACTGGTCCTTGGCAAGAAAAAGGTGCCCCACCCCTGAGAGCCAGGAGCCACCACACAACACTGTCTACATGGCCTGCCACCTGCCACCTGTCCTAAAGAGGCAGCAAATGCAAAATTATATGACTGGGAAAACCTAAGCTCAACACTTCAAGAGGCAGTTCTGGTGATTTTGTTTTTATTTAAGAGTTCCCGTCTACCGGTTTATAATGCCAACAAAAGCCAGGGGTGAGGAGCTCAGTCCAGGTTTTCCCATGTGGGTGGTGGAACCCAAATACTGGAGCCATCACCTGCTGCCTCCCAGGGCCTGCATGGGCAAGGAGCTCAGTTAGCAGTGGAGCCAGGAGAGGAACTCAGGGGCTCTGATGTGGGCTATTGGCATCCTAACCAGCAGCTTAACTTCTAGGCCAAACTCTCACCCCCCACTTTGCTTTTAAGGAAATGAGGACACTGAGTTGTTAAGAATAAGAGAGAAAGACCCAGATTGACCTTGCTTTGGAGAGCAGATTTTAGATTTCTGTACATAATCCATGCATAGAATTTGTCAAGCAGTATTATTACAAGTAATTTGTGCTATCAATTGTTTGCTGATACACAAACTCAGTAGAGGCTGAGACCCCTGTAGAAGGAATTGTGACTCCACACAAACTTCCTCTGCAGCTGTCACAATTTAAAATTTTTTTCTTATTGCTAGGAAAATGAAAGTATGCTAGAGAGCTGTCCCCAGAGCCTGGAGGAAGGTTAGCTAAAATCTGGTAGTAGGCTTTTAGGAATTTTTTAGTACTTAAAATGACACAATCTGTAGTATCACCATGACGGTTCTGAATCATAGGAGGAGTGAAGCCACCCTCAACTGTGGGTCCCCAACTCCACAACATCAGAGAAATTTTCAAATTGAAGCAAAAGCAAGCAGAAGTTTGAAACCAGAGAGAACTGGACTCAAATCACCCTACCACTTGCAGGCTGTGCACAATCCTGTAAGGGTGGGAATGACAAGATAATGTGGCACTCAGTACTGGGCCTTGTGCGAGAGACTAGTTCACTCCCCAAACACTTGTAATTAATTGTTGGGCGCCAAGAACTCAATCCAGGCCTCCCACATTGGTGGCAGGCCCACTGCTACTTGAGCCACCACTGCTGCCTCCCAGGGTCTGTGTTGGAAGGAAGCTGGAGTCAGGAGCCAAAGTCAGACCTCCAACTCAGGCACCGCAAATACTCAGCAATCTGTGGTCAGCACATGAATTACAGCGAAGATCACGCTTTCTTGAAAGACTTACATTATTAACTTTTCTGAATAAAGGGCACACCATTTGTCAGCCAAACCTCCCTTATGGCAGATCTAATGTTCTAGGTACTAAGATAGCTTCTAAGGTACCTTCGACACCTGTGCTATCACAGAAGGCCAATTGGTCATCAGTCACAAAATGTAGTGAGTGGGCCACTGCACCAGGTTTGCCAACAGTGCAAGTGTGGAAAGCCGATTTCTGGGCCATACAGAAGGCAGGCTGTATGATCAGGACTGACTAGGCTGTGCCGCAGTAACAGAAAAAGCTGAAACACTCAGGTCTGTTTGTCCCTCCTGCAAAACCTGCCTTGGTTTGCAAGTCATCCAGGGAGCTGCCAAGCAGGGACACCTGGGGATTCAGGCTGTTTCTGTCTTGTGGCTCCACCAAGTGGAGACAAGGCCTCTTGCCGTTACTACAGCGGGGGAAGGAGAGGGAGGGGCTCCTGTCAGGTCTGCTCACTGATTAGGGCCAGAACTGCCAGGGCCTGGAAAATGCGGTTCTCACAGCAGGGTGTGATGCACAGCAGTACTTGAAGCCGCAGGATAAATCAGTACTATCTCTTGGCTGATTTGGGGAGGGGAGTATCTTTTGAATTGGCATATAAAATATATGACTTCTAAACACAAAATGCATCATGTTTCAAGGAAATTTATACAGCTTTGTGCAGGCAAAATCAGACTACTCCTGCAGGCCAACAGCGGTCAGCCCCGCTCAGCGTTCTGGGTTGTCAGGGACACTTTGATGGGAAACTTAGAGCAGATACCTGCCTGGTTAAGTTTCCTCTTCCTCAGGACATAGCCTGCAACCCACCTGGTCCTCCAGGACTTACATAATAATCATGTTACACTGTATCTTTGAAAAATTGTCAGAGTGCTATTGAAATACTATGTACATGGTCCTAATATACATTTAACTCCTACGTAGAACAAGTATTAGATAGATTATAAACACTACGATATAAATCAAGTATCATTACGTATGACAACAGGTAACATACAGAGATCACTGCTAAGCAGAATTCTTATGGGCAAGTTAAACACAGTAGGTGGAATTCATGAAAAATAAACCAAGGAACTGCTTTTAGAGTTTTGTGATAACTTTTCTCCATGCAGCATGCTATAGAGAAAGGTACACAGATCCAGGAAGCAGGACAGCTGGCGGACTTTTGATAAAACCTGTTTTGTTCTATTTTCTCCCATCTATAGAGAGACTGGATTGGGTTAGTACAGGGAAGTCTAGAATTCTAAATTGTTTTTTTCTCACCCTTTGCTCTTATCATTTCTGTGGGCATGATTTTCTGAATGCATGTAACATAAGATAATTAGCACCTAAACCTTTTCCTGTACATTCTGACAATGACTAATTCAGCTACTTGAAATATATTCACTTCCTTAAAAATTCTCAGCATATTGACTGGTAGAAATCAGTAAATTAGCCAATGTCTTAAAAATCAAAGGTGGAAGAACGATTGCAGATTAAACGAGATTAGAAATCACCATTGGATGCAATGAATAGTCCAGGATTTTTTGCCATGAAGAACACTAACTGGGACAATTGGCAACATTTGAATGAGGACCTCTGGCTACACAGTATTAGATATCAGTGTTGTATCCATTTCCTGATTCTGATCATTGTGCTAGGATTAGATTATATAATAGAAAATGACCTTGTTTCCAGAATTATACACTGCAATATCTAGGGACCAAGGTGCCTCACATCTGCCATGGAGAGAGCATGCACGTGCACCAAGGTGGCAAACATTAACATTTGGGAAATTGGGATGAAAGGTCCCTGGCAATTCTTTGCACTATTCTTGTAACTTTTCTGTAAATCTGAAATTGTGTCAAAATAAAAAATTAAAAGAAAAAAGATGAGCATCTGAATGACAACTTGTTTGATGGTTACATATAGTACTTCATTGGAAACCAGATGTAGAAAGATTAATGGGAAGTGCAAAATTGTACCAGAAAAGAGCCCTCCCTATTCATTTACATTGTTTTGGAATTTAAAAAACTTTACATAATAGACACAACAAACCACATTGTATATGGTATTAAAGGATGGACCTGGTAAACACAGTGGTCTAGGAATTCTTATTTAATAAATACTGTTATAATCTCATTCTGTTTGTAGCTTCTTTTCTTTCACATTCTGTTGTGGTAAATCTTTACCTATAGCTGGTTTTATAGCTTAAAGTCTCTTCATAGACAACTCACAGGAAGAGTTTCATTCAGAATATATGTGGAAACTTACCCAAGGGCTGGTGTTGTGGCGCAGTGGTTAAGCTACTGCTTGTTATGTGGGCATCCCATATAAGCACCAGTTTGAGTCCTGGCTGCTCCACTTCTGACCTATCCCTCTGATAATGGCCTGGGAAAGCAGCAGAAGACGCCCAAGTACTTGGGCCCCTGCCACCCACATGAGTGATTCACGTGCTCAGCATGTACTGATTTAGCACTTACTGTATGCCAGACGTGGTTCTAGGTATTGAAGGTGCAGGCAACACAGGTGTAACAAAAACAACATGAATAAAATCATGGTGTCTGCCTTCATGCAGGTTACAGCCCAATCCTGAGCACTCAGGTGCAGGGCTATGTGTAAGTTTTTGCAAACTTGGTACCTCCTAAGGACTTTGCAACAGAACCATAGTAATGTTCACTGATGAACCTGATGATGTGTGCACTGCCTGCAGAACTCTTTATGCTATGATTAGATCATTTTATCATTTAAGATGGACCTCATCTAGCAAGAAAAATTGATCATATAAGATTCCTAAAAGCCATTTGGAACCTGTTCCTTTTGGGGCATCTCAATACCCTTGTACCCTTGTCTTACTTAAATATAAAAATTGCAACAAATTCCCAGGTGAAGGAAGGAACTGTGAACTACTGTAAACATACTTCAATGTCCAGTTATCCCACTGTTGACTCATGTACAGAAACATTCTCAAATGACAGCTTTTGTTCTGTGTGCTCTGCAACAACATTTGACACAGATTCATAGCTGTCATATACACACATCAGGTGACAGGGTTCCTCTTCATTAATCTCCCTATAATGAAAGTTAGAAAATACTGCTGTGGTAGGTGAAACTGCTGCCTGTGACACTGGCTTCTCAAATAAGCGCTGGATCCAGTCCTGGCTGTTCCCTTCCTGATCCCTGCTAATGGCCTCAGAAGGCAGCAGAATATGGCCCAATTGGTTGGCTCCTGCTACCCATGTGGGAGACCTGATGGA